TTACTTTAGTGAACATCCCTGTTAGTGAATGTGCCCAAGCCATGGAGATATGCCCAGAGACCCTGCCTCCTTAAATGTATAGGAGAAAAGTTCAGTGGGAGAACTACAATTTTACCATGAATCCACTCACCGAAACACAACACCTGCAACTCCTAGCAACAGAATGACATGCAAGGCAGTCCACAAATCCAAAAATAGGGCTTTGACTCTGAAAATGTTGTATGTCTCTCTGCTGAGAGTGAGGGCCATGATGAAGCAAAGAAAGCACACTCTCCAACATCGGGCTCAGAACATAGTAATCTGACCTCAATTTCAGGAAAAAGCATCTCTAGCCATGGATACCAACATCTACACACTGTTTGAGCTAAAAACAACTGTGAGATCTGATTTTCAAAAACTTACGTCAGATATAAAACGTGATATACAAGCAAGGGGAATACATGGCCCAACTTGAGGAAAAGGTCAAAGAAATAATAAAGGCACACCATAACTAGGCATATGCCTATAACGCTTTTAACACTACTCTACAGATGCTGGAAATAAAGTTCAAAGACTTTGGGGATAAACCCTTCTGGAACAACATCAGACTGTGAGGCATTTCAGAGGAAACAAAGGATCCTGATTTGATAGGGCACATAACTCACCTCTTAAAGGAATTGCTGCCTAAGGTTACTGACCAGGAGCATCAAATGGATAGTGTGCACAGAATGACTAGACTACAGCAGTACCACACAATGTGATTGCCAGGGTCCATTTCGACACCACCAAGGACCAACTTATGCAAGCAGCCAGGGTTCCACAACTTCACACAGGCTGGTGTACTTGGATCTATCACCAGCTGCCATGGCCAAGAAGCAAGCCTTTGGTCCCATCACAAGACTGCATAGAATGGAGAAGATCCCAGGGCTTCCCGATGCGTAAGAATGGTGCTGATAGATCTTTGCCTCACAGAAGGAAGGCCAGATGATCCTTGCACAATGGAACATCCAAGGTGAGAATATGGACCAAAGACCATTTGTATCACCAGCACAGGTCACCCAAGACTGGCTATGAGCAGCTGCAGCTATATGACTTGGAACAGGGCTGAGAATCATGGCTTACTAATTGTCCTTCACTATAGCTAAGTTTATACTTAGAATTATAAAGTTTACCATTATGAACTAAGGTAGGTTTGTTGCCATGGACTTAATACAGGCCGCTTCTCTGATAGAGTGTTCTTTTCAATGGAAATTAGTGAGAGAGGTTTATGGGTGAACTAGTCCCATACTAGGTTAAGTGTTTATAACAGTGGGTAGTACAGTGGCTGATATTTGCTGCTCAGAATAAGGTTAATGCGTAAGATAGATAGAAACAATTCATAATAGGAAAATAGGAAACAGAATGGAAAGACAAAAATAAAAATACATAAATATAAGACTTTTTTGAACCTGTTCCTTAGTTCAAGATAAAATTGAGAGCCCTAATACAGCTACTAATGTCTGGTCATCACCTGGGGAAGCATGGGGCACTAAGGGGCCCTCTAAAAATGCCAGGAACTAATATAGCTGGCCCCAAATCCATAGTTTCTACTGTACATGGAATATTAGGTTTATCTCTGTTTGAGTAGAGGTTTACAAATGTCAACTATTCCTCTGTACTGAGTGTGCATCAATATTGTCATTTTTTCACTGATCCTTCTCCAATAGGCTCAAATTGGACCGATATGGTGTGCGGCAGTGCACACCATAATTTTCACATGCTTTATTGCAGTCATCAAGTGTAGATGGCTGTTTTTTTTGCAGGCAATTGTATATAGTTCATATTCAGTCAGTTGCTTTTAATATTGCTTTTATCTATTATTGCCCTGTGTATGAAGTGGAGAGAGTGGTTGATAAACAAAGGGCAGATCCAGGATCGATTCACCTTTCTAGATTATTGCTGTGAATGGGTCAGTGTTACAAACCTTTCAGGGGAGCTGATGAATTGAGGACCACACTGGGGGTGAGGGGTGATGAACTGAGGACCACGCTGGGGGTGGAGGGTGATGAATTGAGGACCACACTGGGGGTGAAGGGTGATGAATTGAGGACCACATTGGGGGTGGAGGGTGATGAATTGAGGACAACACTGGGGGTGGAGGGTTGACAAGTCATGTGACTTGGCATACAATGGAAATGCTGTTTAATACTTTTTTCTTTTAATGTTTTCCAATGGTAATTTATTTTCTATCTTCGAAAGTGAAGTGAACTTAAACTCTCCACATAGGAGGAGGCTAGCTTTACAGGAAGCTAGACGACAGAAAATGCACACGCCACATTCTTCAAAAAAAAAAAAAAACACTTTACATGGGCCAACAATCACAGGTTAAACTCCCCCACTTCCTGGATGATGTTCATTCCTCTTCAAAAGAGAGGGGTGTGTCAATCCTCATTAGTAAAGATGTAGCTTTTTCTCTGGTGACTATACATTCTGATAAAGAGGGTAGATTGCTCATCCTGCAATGTATAATCACCTCGTCACATTATGCGATAATTATACAGATAGGGGAACAATTCACATCTAAAAGCAAGGGCACCTGGTGCATGAACGAATACCTCCTTACAGACCTACGTGTTTTAGAGAATGTCTGAAATGAGCTGTCATCCTACTTATAGGACATAAACTTATGAATCCTGAAAACATTGTTCAAGAGTTTGCTAAATTCTATAGATGACTGTAAAATTTGAAACATGACCTGAACACCTCTGTCCCTACACAACAACAAATCAATGATTTTCTAGATAAAGGCCCTAACATCACACATTACATTACTCTAGAAGCCAGGCCCCTTATTGCTTTAAACTGGAGCTCATTTGTTTGCCCAAATGATATACTATTACTAGATAAAATTAGACTAAATTATGCTTCTGAGTTAATGCGAGCAGACTCCCCAACTCAAAACTGTAAGATTTCTAAGATCTGGGAACCGTGGAGCGATACATTTCTTCCTAGTTGTGTAAGGAGAGTGGGCAGAGAGTTGGGAGTGGATGGGACAGGGACAGGGCCATCTGGAAGTGAGGTGACCTTGCCAGTGGCTTTGGTACTGGCCATCATGGAGGTTCATATAGCCATGCACCATGTTAAAGGTACTCAAGGCAACATTGCACTTATAGGCACAATTTTTGCTAATTACTTTTTGTTGTTATTTATTCCTTTGTGTTAGCTATTGGTCAGGACACATAATCATTGAACATTTAGTGGGTTTAATACATATATGTATGTTGATTGGCACCAGAGAGGGACAGAAATATAACGATCTAAAGTGGAGAGAAAAAAAAGCCCAAAAAACAAAAACAAAACACACCATATGAAGCACAAGGGCAACACACCTCCCTGAAGGTTTGGAGACCTCTTTTGAAGCCAGAATACCCCTTCTAGAGCCCCTGCAAGTCTACAGGGTTATAAGGTATTTTACAGATTGTTTTCTAACTGTACAGATTACACTGCATACTGTATGCTCTCTGGGTTTATTTGTTGCATATAACATTTATTATTTGAGTTGTACTACTACTTTATGTCATGATGCTTTCTTCTTTGTATATATATTTTTTTGAACTTATAATAATTGCATTATTGTTACAATTCTGAAAACTTCTTTTTTTGCAATTTGTTAATCTTTTACTTTTTTTACAGTCACTACTAACATAGGATCTGCCTGTTCCATGTATGGTATCCCAAATGTTGCTAATGTGTATAGTTAAATCACTTTTGCAATGTCACTTTTAATGGTAGTATCATGTTTAGTTAGATATTCATGGAAAAAATGCTGATAAAAGCTTTTTAAATGTTTTACTGTCTGCTATGGATACATTTCATGAGCATCGTTTCTGTCTGAAAACAGTAAGATAGAGTGAGCTTGAATTATGCAATTTGTCTAGTGAATGAGCCTGAATTATGTGTTGTCTGGTTAACGGTGAGTGAACAGTGAGTGAATTATGTGATGGTAATAGTGACACTGCCAGGTAACTGTCTGAGTGGCTCTTATTTGACAGGCTCTTATAATACTGACACAGCCCAGTGACCATGACTGAGAGAGAGCTGTGTGAGGGAGTCTGCAAACAATGTTGCAGTCTAGTAATTCTGACTCTGCACAAGCTATGTGTCAGAGATTATAACAATGTTACAGGTTTAACAGGGGATGGGAGAGAATAATGTGACTGAGTCTGTTAACTAATGACATTCTCAGGTCATATAAAGGTTGTGTTTTATGCTTCATTTAGCAATTCATCTAGTTTAAATGGGTAATTTTCTACTTCTGTGATGTTAAAAGTTTATCTCAACTTAATAAAATGTATTCTGCAATTGTTTCCCTGTGTGAAGAAGAGGTATATTTTTAGGGCATCAATTTACTCTTTGACTACTGAAATATAATTATTACCTTAAAGGGACATGCATCACTTTTAGACAACAGTATAATTCCAACGTTTAAGCTTTGTATGTGACAGATACTTCACTCTGCAGGCTTAAAAAAGCAGGTAAATATGATTTTTCTTTCCATATACATCTATTTTTCCTTTCTTATGCTTTCTGGAGGGGTGGGTGGGTGGGGTACTGATCTGACCAATCAGTATCCTGTCCCTAGGAATGCTGGAAAAGTGCATTGGGAATGCCTGACAGATTTAGATATCTCTTCACCTTGTAACATCTTGACAGGGGGAGAAGAGAGGGAGTCTGATCAGTTTGTTTCATGCAGAGCAGACTCTGGTGGTTCTCTATCCTGATGCTGCACAATGATGCCCTATTTCTATCATTAGGGGACCGTCCAGAAACTGAGATGGGTATGTAAGGGGTGCAGGAGGCTAAAGAAATTCTAATATCTTAATCCTATAAGACAGAAATTAAATATCCTCATTCAAAACAAAAAATTAAGTTTTGACTGCAGATATAAACTGGATATATATAAAACAATTAGCAAATATACACTGTCCAAAAACAAAAATAGAAGAGTCTAAGTGAATACTAAAGCTGAATACGACACGCGTTTTGGTGCACAGCGAGTGCACCTTCATCAGGGGTCCTGGTCCTGGACCCAGACTCCTGACGAAGGTGCACTCGCTGTGCACCTAAACGCGTGTCGGGCAACTTTACAACTTCACAGGGCACACACTATCACGTTGGTGTATAATACCATGCACACTTAAAGCATGAAATTTTAAGTAGCACATAACTTTTTCTATCTCTTTTTCAATCTCTGACTTTGTACTGAGTTTACCAGGAAGAGAGGCTTTTTCTCAATCTATGCTGTATGACCTTTCAGTTTAATAGAACTTAGCATCTTAGGAGACAATTGTATATTGTTACCACTATATCAAGACACAAGTACCTAGTATGTCTATGTAGGTAAAATGTTTATATCTTAAACCAAAGATCTACACCAGCTAGTCTCAAAATAATGGAGTTTAAGCATGTGTGGGATAGGCATAAGACTATCCTAACTATAAGATAAGGCTAGGGACTAATGAAAGTATTTAGAAAATTGGGCAGACTAGATGGGCCGAATGGTTCTTATCTGCCGTGACATTCTATGTTTCTATGTTTCTATGTGTATGTCTGTGGTTGTGTGTGTCTGTGATTGTCTCTGTGTGTCTCTGTAATTGTATATGTGTATGTCTGTGGTAATGTGTGTGTCTGTGATTGTCTGTGTGTGTCTCTGTAATTGTGTGTGTGTGTGTGTGTGTGTGTGTATGTATGCCTGTGATTATGTGTATATATATCTGTGTGTGTGTGTGTGTCTGTAGGTTTGTGTGTGTAGATCTGTGGTTATGTGTGTATATGATTGTGTATGTGAATGAAAATGTATATGTGTTTATGTGTATGTTTGTGGTTGTGTGTGCGTATGTCTGATCTCCATATTTACTATGTTTAAATACCCATTTCCCGCCATCCCGGATTGCCTACAGCCAATCGGGAACTGCGGTATAATGATATTCACCTGCGTCCATGTAAATAGAGCTTTGTGCCTCAAGCCTCAGTTTCATGCATCACAACAACCCTCATTTTCATGTAATGTCTCGGTGAAATGTTTCTGGTTTTCGTGATTTTAAAAAAAATATATATTTATTTTTTATTTTTGCAGTGCAAATGGGTTTAACAACATGCGTGTGGTACCCCAACGGCAATCCACTCTCTTAGATCAAGACATTTGTAACAGTGGGGCGTATGATAACAGTGGGGCGTAATGCACAATTTTTGTTTTATCCAAGTTTACAGTTGTGTTGCTTTAAACTGATGTTGAATAAACAAGTAAGTACTTTTGAGTGGTGCGTTATATGTGTGTAATAACAGTGAGTTCCTAAGTTGTGGCATGTGTTAAACAAGCTTGTTCAGGCAGTGAAATATTAACTTGCCCAGCAGTCCCATGATGTAGATGTAAACATGTTATATGATATTAAGTGAGTAGTGTTGTAGGGACTGAACTGATCTAATATCTGCTGAAATACACACATATGTAATAGCAATAGAAAAAGCAAAAGAAAAAACAAACACAAGTAAAACCATGTGAAGGATGCCACTGGTGGTTAATGAGCTGTATTGTCTCTTTTGCCTTGGTCTTTGTGGCTGACCAGTTGCTTAGTGGTTTTGGGTCAGCCTATGCCCGACAGGTGGTGGCTCAAAATCCAAGAAGAGTGTCTATTTGTGGGTACTTTTGTTGGTCCATGCCAGCCTTGTGTTGGAACTCCTTGCTGCTTTGTCTCCTCGCTTGTCCCCCGTGTACTCGCATACTGGACCTGATTCTGGGGTCTGGTAGGTGAAGTCGGTTTGTCACAGTGTGTAGGTGCCTGCTGTGGGTGTGTGCGGGGGATGGGGGTGCCTTGTCTGCCTGCCCTGTGCCCCATTGTTTTGCGGCTCACCGTTGTTTCAGTGCACCTTTGGCGCCGCTGTCGCCTTGGCGTCTGTTTCTACGGTCCTGCCTCAGTGTTGCATCTAGCTTGTTTCGGTATGATCTTGTTCGGGCGGGCCTGTATCTGTTCTGTGGTGCCGGTTTTCTGCAGTCTGTGGTGGGCTTGCGTAGGCGAGGTAGGGTCACCCGAGCTGTTTGCCAAGCGGGCCCAAAAATCATTCCTTTTCAAATTTGGCATCAAAGTTCCGTCTCCATTCCTGCAATGCCATGCTATCTTGTTGTGGTTTGGGCCATGGTATGGTGGCCATTTTAAGTCTGCCACGCGGTCTCAGGTTCAGTAGGTTGTGGGCTTTGCTGTTCGGTAGAGTGATCCAGTGGGGACCGGGATAATCCCCACTGGTCTAAAAGGGGGGGAGGGGGCTTGTTGCTGTGTGTTGACTATTGTTCTGCTGGATGCAGGGTCCCGAGTGAGGAATCGGCCGCCTCCCCCAGCCGTCGGGTCCGCAGTTTCAGCAGGCCGCTGGGCCAGAAGGCCAATTAGTACTGAGTTCGTGTAGTGCGGGGGAACCACAGTGTCCCCAGTCGTTAGGTATACCTGTCACTCTGTTTTCGGGGTCGTCTGCCGCTTTTTTCCACGAGTTTGTTAGTCTTAATGAGTTTTTCGGCAGGAGCTCCCGCAGAACACGTCTGGCCAGCTCGCGTGTCAGGCCCCGCCATTTGGTTTTTGTGATTTTGTTTGTCTGTGATTATGTGTGTTGCCTGGATTATATATGTATATGAATGTGAGTGTGTGTCTATGCCTGTAATTATGTGTCTGTATGTCTGTAATTGTGTGCATGTCTGTGATTATGTGTGTAATTGTGTGTATGTTTGTGGTAGTGTGTTTGTATGTATGTCTGTGATTATGTACTGGATTACGAATAGCTATAGCTATCCAGTCACTAATTTTTTTTTTTACATTCTTTATTTTTTGTAGTGCATAGATTAACAAGCATGAAAATATTTCACAAGGGAAAACATATCACATTAAATATTAGGCTAGGCAGAAAAGATTGATTCTACTGCACTTTTTAGAATAAAATAAAATAAAAGTAAATATTAATGCTTTAATTGCAAGATTAGAAAAATGCCGGTAAGAAGTGTAGAACATGTGGAAAATCAGGCTGAAGCAACTGACATTTTGCCAAATAACAAATATCACTGGGCGTAACATTATGAAGAGAGAGATCAGACATCATCCATCTCAGCTTAATGTAGACAGTGGATTGTTATCAACATGCAAAGTCTATGCCTTTCTGAAGATGAGTGTTGGACTGGTGAGAGTGTGTACTAGAGTCCACGTCAACTATAAACCACCAGGCTCAGGCCGGAGTGCAGATCAGGATACTATTGGTGCTTGTCTTGTTTAGGGCGCATTGAGGAAGGGCTGTTCAAGGGATGGAGCGACTTATGTAGGGACATACCCTGTTGGACTGTGGCCCAGGAAGATATCGGTGCAAAGCAGGACCTCGTCGTTGGTGGTGAACCAATGCATTGAGGTTTCCCTTTCAACTTCCCCTTCACTGTGTCAGGGTGTTGCTCAGAAAATTTTGGTTTGGCTGTGCTGCACAGTGGGGAAGGCAGAAGTAAAGATGCCATGGGAGACTTCGGTGATCGTCGCTGTATCCTACTCCGGAGTTTTGTCCAGAAGTTCTTGAATGCCTGATTGAGGGGTTCTTCCAGTGATAGCTGAGTCATGGAGGGCTGGTGTAGCTTAGGCATCTCTTCTGTGGCTATCTTAGCTCACTTTGTGCAGAAGGTTAGCTCAACGAGGACCGCCAGATCTGGAATAGGTGACTGTGGTATCACCCCAGTGGGGATTGGGATAATCCCCATCGGTCCATGGAGGGGTAGGATCATGCTTAGACCTTGTAGTCAACTGAAGAGTGTGGAGAGCAGATGCATCTCCCCACCTCTGCCTCTCACAGGCTGCAACTTCATTCCTACATGAAGCCCTTAGCCGCCGGTTGCAGAAGTACAAGATTTGTGCTTGCGGGACCCTCATGTGTGAATAGCTTGTAGGTTTACAAAAATATTTGCTTTTCCCAGAAATATCATCCAAAATTAGAGTCTTGGGCCCAGATCTCAAGCAGTGAGCTTTCAGTTTCAGCCAGCTTAACAGTCAGGCTCCGTCCACCCACTTATCTTTTTTTATGACAGCGAGCGGCCAAAGGCTACACGCTGTTTTGTAGACAGGGCCATACTCTCAGCAAGGGGCAGGAGAATGGATTCAACCTCACTTAGTCTAATGCACAGATCATTTTGACCCTCATATGCCTAGTATGAGGGAGACAAGGGGGGTATTTAGGAAGTGCCTCCTCTCTTTCCAAATTCTACAAGATGGGAGTCCCAAGTTGGTAGCTCCTTCCTTGTAACTAAAACAAACAAAAAGACAAATTGCATGGACAAAAATGTGTCCAACAATCAATTTGTTCTTTGTTTAATTTGTAGGAATTTGCTTTTGTCCATTCGTCTTTCGGAGAAACTGGGTGAACTGACACAAATTTGGAAGAACATTTTTCTTTCAGGAATAAATGCCCAAGTCCAGCTCTGAGTGTGGTAACTTATGTTCCCCACTATATATTATTCCTAGAGTCACCACTGCACAAACCAAGTTCCCTCTTATAGTACGGCCCTGGTCCTGTCAGTTTTCTATTCAGATCTCTCCAACTGGCTTCATACTGTCAGTTCCTGTGCTTGAAGTTGATGGTTTGTTTCAATTTCCTTCTAATGCTGTGAATAGAAAAAGCTTCTACATATGACCTAAGCATTCTATATGCAGATAGCTCTGTTTCCAGGTATATGGTGATCTTCTCATCCCAACAGCTCTGAAACGATTTGAGTTTAGTGTTTCTATGTGGAGATATTGTAACACATATTTTATTAGTCCAGGGAAAAAAGTGACATAATTAAATCCATTAATTACTTTTTGACATGTGTATTTCACAAATAATAGACCCAAAAGGACCAGTGACACACTTTTGTATCATATATACATATTTTTGCTGTAGCTGGTATTTTCCCTGCTACAGGACAACATCCAGCGTCTCTGTGATTGGCAAAGCTAGGATTAGCCACCTCCCTGACCTTTCCCAGAGTCACATGTTAAAAAACATTATTCATAGCTGATGTGAGTATCAGAGAGTGTTGCATGTGAATGCTCACGCTATTCCAAAGATACATCCCCTAAAAAAATATTTTAACCCTTAGACATTGTGTCATATAAAAAGCAAGGGGACTCCAATAATGCTCACTCTTAGTCACAGTGATGACTGAGAGAGATGCTTTTAGGTGAGCATTATAACTGTCTGTATCCAAAAAAAATCCCTCTTTTTAAACCTTAATGTAACTCCTTAATCATTGTATTACATAGAGATAGAGAAACTCCCACCTTTTGATTACTCATAGTCAACATGAATAAGAGAGAGGCTTCAAAACAAGTACAGACATGCCTTAAAAAAAATGTTTAGCTCCTTAAAGGGACACTATAAGCACCTAGGTGACTTCAGCTCATTGAAGTGGTCTGGGTTCAGTGCCCCTTTTGCACTTACTGCTGCAATGTAAAACATTGCAGTTCCAGAGAAACAGCAATGTTTACATTGCAGCACTAAGTTTGCCTCCAGTGGCTGTCTACCAGACAGCCTCTGGTAACGCTTCCTGAATCGAAACTGACCTTTGGTCTGGTATCTGATGATGGTCGTCCTCACGCACTAAATGAGGATGTAATGGAGCTCCCTGTACCCCTGGCTGGGTACCTCCGCAAAGCCAGCTTCCTAGCTGGAACAGGGGACAAACCGCAGAACCATGGCTTGACTGGAGTCCTGGAACCGCTCCCTCCTGAAGCCGAATGGGGAATTTGCTCTACACACCCCCAGGACGACACTCAGTCCTGGGAGCTCTAGTCCTTACAATGATTTTCCCCATTAAATCCTCCATGCTGGAACAAGCTGGAACAGTGATTAGCCCTTTCCCCTCCCAGTAACCAGACGACACATAGTTCTGGAAGTACAAGCTGGAATATTTTAATGGCAGCCACAACTGGTCTTATATGCATGTCCCCAATGCAAGGGGCTTTCCCTCCTGGATCTGAGAATAAACCACAGTAGAACCAAATACACAATTACATTGGCTCTCAGATCCAGGACACTCCCATACATAATCAGATAATCCCTCCCCTGTGTCTGGGAGATAATTGAGTCAGGCACTGTATTAACCTCAATTATCTCCAGGCACAAAAAACACACATTTCCCAAACACCCGAAAAGTACCTTACAAATACATAAAACCCACAAAAGTTACATCCCCTGTTAGCCCGATCTGGGTGACCAACATATCCAAAAATCACCCAGATCGGTTCAGGAATTTCCTGGAAGTCCTAATTTGACCGACTGCACGCATGGTCAACTTGCAGAAAATAGTTCCATAGAATCACGGCTTAGTGCCGCTGGGGACCGACCGGGAACCGCACAATCTTCATGCCGAAAATTGTTCCAGGGCTTTCGCGGCTAAGTCCCCCTGAAGTCTATTCGTGGTTTTTGTCCATGCGAACGGCTGCCAGGGAGCTAGCATTCGGTTCTATGAGCACTAATGTAAAGTATCGAACCAGGGAAAACAGGGTGAATAAAATATGGGTCTTTACAGTCACTGACCTGGCCCATAGTCGGTGGGCAGGAAACTGGCAAGCAGGATCCTCCAGGAGCTCGTGGCAAACTCACAAGGACAGGGGAGTTTGTCACACAGTGTAACTGGACAAACTTGCATGAACAAACTGTTAAAACACATGAGAAATGCTATTAAATGTAGTTTCCTTTTAGTACCATCCACTCCTGAACTACACCCATTTCATATGAAGTACATCTATAAACAGTTTTAGAATGCTACACATACACTTACAGATTTCTCTTGATAATTCATTTACTCTGTTCCAAACCTCTCTTTCCTTGTCTCCCCTTTTTGACTTCTACTTTGGGACAAGCTCTATTTAAAGTTACCATTTCTTGCCGAGTACACATAGTCACGGCTGGTTAAGTTTTGCCTAATTAAATAGCTTTAGAATAAAGGTATTTTATAATGATAGCTTTATAAAATTCCTTACCAGTGCTATGTTTGAGCAGAGGAAAAAAGCATCCCTCCCCCAGGGAAATCACAGCAGGAATTTCAACCGCTCAGACCAAATGCTTTGTAATGTAAGGTGGCTTAATTATTACAGGTGTTATTAGAATTCAAATCTTGCACTAGCCCCATTGTGTCATTAGGTGACAGGTTTTCCATTTTCAACCATCACTAGGCTGCTGCTTCTCAAGGTCAATTAATGGCACCTCCTGCACATCTGATTAACGGAGAAATTCAGAAAAATACTACTGAACAAACAGGGATAACCATTGACAGGATTTAGAAAGCTATATGTAGGGAATAGTTAATTTCTGAAGTGCAGAAATATCTCACTGGAAGATGAAGAGTTGTGTCAATGTGTGGATTAAACAGAAGGCGAGTGGTTTTGTAATATGTACCATTACATGTATATGTAGAAAAACATTTATTACTGAGAGTATATTTTAAACCAACATAGACCTCGTAGCCTTACTATTTCTTCCCATTTGCATAATTTTTAAACTTTGTCTTATTGAAGCTCATAGAACGATACATAGAATAAGGTAGCATGCGTCATATCTTTTTCCATTCTCTTTTGTTCTTTTGTAATAAGCTATAACATATACATGTAACTGAAAAGGAGAGAAAAAAATGACAAAAATGGGAAGAGTAGGAGTACAAAGAACATCCAATAGATAAGCAACCATTCTTTGAGTCCTTAAATGGACACTATAGTCAACAAAACAACTACAGCTTATTGAATTTGTTCTGGTGAGTAGAATCAGTACCTTCAGGCTTTTTGCAGTAAACACTGTCTTTTCAGAGAAAATGCATTGTTTATATTACAGCCTAGTGATAACTTCACTGGCCACTCCTCAGATGGCTGCTACAGATCCTTCCTGGGTCATGGCTGCCTAAAATACATCCAAACATTCAGTGTCTCCACACTCCACTGGCGGATCCAGGGGGGGGCAACGGGGCAATTGCCCCCCCACCCCCGAGGCTCTCCCCTGCCGGCTAATGCAGGGCTGGCATTGTCCAAGTGCCAGCCTTGCAATGTGCCTGCGGACCGGAGGGGAGATCAGAGATCTCCCTCCTCGGTCCGCAGGCACTGTGCTGGCAGCCGGCAAGGGAGGGAGGAGAGAGGACCCCCGGGAGAGAGGACCCTCCTCCTCAATAAAGGTCAGAAGGGAGGGGGGACATAATTATATTAAATGTATTAAATAAAAAATATATTAAAAAGCCTCCCTACCCTCCTTCCCCCCATACAAACACTGCACACCCATAGACACATTTCCCCCCCATACACCAACTGCCCCCCATACAGACACTACCCCATACACACACTCATACACACATTGCCCCATACACACACTGTCCCCCATATACACATTGCCGCATACACACACTTCCCTCCATACACACACAATGCCCCCCATACACACATTGCCCCATACACATAATGCCCCATACACACACATTGCCCCATACACACATTGCCCCACACATACATACAGTGCCTCCCCATACACACACTGCCCCACACACACATATAGTGCCCCCCATACACACACTGCCCCACACACACATACAGTGCCCCCCCCATACACACACTGCCCCAAAAACACATA